ATGTACCCTTAGGCCCCCTCCTCGATTCAGAGATGGTCTTTCCCTTTTCATGTAAATGGCCTCCTTGACTCCGCGCTTAAACCAGCGTTCCTCCCTGTCCAGGATGTGTACATCCTCATCATTGAAAGAGTGTCCACTGGCCTGAAGGTGCTCAAAGGTTTTGAGCTGAGTGAAGTGAGTCAGAATAATCTGCATGGTAGCCAGAGTAGGAGCTGGTCGGTGCTAGCTGTTTATATTACTGTCAGAGGGTCTTGTCATTGCTGTTGACGGAATTGAGATTAAGTCAGCACAAATGTTTCCATTCCTCCATGATGCAGAAGTCATCCAAACCGCTGTGTTGAACAAACATGGGTTTTTAATGCAGGCAGAGTGTAATAATTAGCAAAGAAAGGTGCTCCAGAGCTTCCTTTGTTGCTTCTTTTTTGCAGAAGATAAACTTCTTTGATGAAAGAAACACAGGAAACCCTCCCATAGCAACGCAACATCTGATGGTTCAAGACAACAATCAACAGAACTAACTGATACAAATCTTTATATTACACTGCGGTGATAAAAAATATTCTACTGAGGTGTTGTTTTTCAGTAAGAACACATTCATATAAGCTCTGTAAATCAAGATTGTGAGTTTTTTTTTAACTGATTTAAAAGGTATTTACAGTTCACTAAAGAAAAAGCTGTGATTGTGTCACAAAAAAGATGAAGCAATGTGTTGACTAACAAAAGGCAAGTTTTAATCACTGTTCCAAGAAAAAGGAAGTCACAATCAAGCTGGTGAATAAATAAAAACACAGATATGCACAAAGGCAACTTGACAATGACAAAAAAGAAAAACAGGTCTAGAAAGGAAGCAAAACTCAAAGCGAGGCACGTACGATACTGTCAAAGTCAGAGAAAACAGGAAATGATCAAACACCCAATGCTGAAATATAGTCAGTAATGTGTGCGTAATAGTCGAATCACTGAATAACTTTGAGGTTGTTAAAGCAGGCCTGTTAATTTAATATTTTCTTTCCGATAGATAGGTGGTGCATGATCACATTAAATGTGGTAGGTTCAGATAATGTGTTTATGTAAGGCCCAGTTTAAGCTAAATAAGGAATGTTTTTTTAACTGAATCATGCAGTTAATGGCAGATGATGCTATCTCTTTATCCACATTTCAGCGCAGCCTTATAGGATTACAGACATAGTGTAAAGACTGGTTTAAGATCACCTCCTCTAGACAGAAGTAAAGAAACAAAGATTAGGGATTCCTCCATGTCAATTATTTTCCACCGAAACAAAGAAAGATTAGATGAGGCTCCACAAAGCCATCACACAGAGAGAAAGACTGGCTGACATGGCTGCTGGCATTTCAGCAGTGACCTTTATACTGCTATTGAAGCCTGATAGGACATAAAGCAGAGAGGGAGACACAGAGAGATCCAGGCAGTGTTAAAAAGGAGGTCATCCATCTGATTGGGGAAAAAAAGACCAAGTACAATTCCACTGAAATACTTTAATTAATAATTTTAAATATTTAATTTCCTATTGAAAAGATACAGAAAAACTAAATATTAAAAGTATACTATAAATGGTGTATTCATGTTCCACACCTAAACTACCCACTGCCAGTTTTTTG